GAACAAGGCTTTTCCTGGGGAATCGGGCATTGTTACGTATACGGCCAGTGTTGTGGAACACATTACAGAACGAACTTTCACATGAGATAGTGTTAAGCCTATCTAGGCACCAACTTTGCGAAAAATGTAAAGAGAAGGGTAAAGAGGTCGCTAACTCCAGGAATGAGGAACCTTGGCAACTAGCTGGTACGACTAATGCCATGCTCAGGGTAACCTGTAAAAAATTTAAATAAATCAATAAACAAATGACAAGAGGATATCAACTGTTGATATTCCCTTGTAAATGAGCATCGTTCGAAACAAATGTGCGAACTATAATGAAATAACACGTATTACGGTTGAGGGTAAAGGTGTAGTGTAATTAGACGATTTAAAGCTCCTATGGGTATATCTGTTAATAGGACATGGACTTCTTTTATCAGTAACGTGTGTCACGTTTTATGTATAACCTGTATGTCATGCGAGTACAGACTTCTAGTTAACCCTCTAACTCCTAGAAGTGATGAACGAGAAACTTCTCCTATAACTAAACATTATCCAGCAAATAGGTAATGAGAATGTTCAAACTTATCAGGTACAGGTTGCTATCTTGATCTAACAGCGAGTTCGCGTAACTAATTTACAGGGAAATTTATGGCAGCTAGAGGGGAGAATTAGCAATCAGATCTTGGCAGTTAACTAACTTTAAAACGGTTGCGAGCGGAAAACATTTAATCAGATATTTAGGCCCAATACTCTGATGAAATATTTCACGCAAAGAATGATCGGCTGTCAGTTCAAGACCCGGATACGCATACTTGATTCTCAAAAATAACATCCTGGAAAGCCAAGTGGTTACCACCCATGCAATCCATAATCAATATCAATTTTATTTTTAACTTTTTTTTATTATCTTGATTTTAGATGGAGTTCGAGGTACCGTATGTAGCATAATTTTATCTTTTAAACGACATTTGTAAGTAATCCACTTATATTTCATAAGAGGGGTTAGTTTCTTAAAAAACTGTGGTGCCGTCTCGGTTGGGGGGAACTACAAGACTGAGTTCATGTAACCAATTTAGTGTGTATGTTTTATTTTAAAGTTTTTAGGATATCTATTTGTTTTGGATAATAATTTGTCCCTATTAGCAGGGGGGGCATTTCCCCTCTGCCAGATATCACCTGACATTTTGAACTGCCCGTCGTTTTACTTAAGCGTTGTCGCTGTTCAGTTACAGTTTTTAATAACTAAGAAGTAACGTTCTTGCCGGTGGCATCACTAAAAGGACCACCCAAAGAAGGATTGATCTTGCTTTGGATCGCCATAAGCTACTATCTTGATGGTAAGTCGTTTCGCAATTTGGTCAAGCTAATGACACAATATATGAAGCCGTTCATTTGCGTCGTGTCGAAACTTTCAATACTAACGTACCAACACAATTGTCTGAGTTTTTCATTGTGAAGAACGGTGGAAGATGAAATACACGACATGTACAAAATGGATCCATTACTTCATAAGCCTTTGGCTGTTTATCAGCATCGATTCACCCAACAATCCTTCTAAAAAGCTTTGCAGGATCTTCAAGAACGGCTGTCAAAAGGAAACTTTAAGTGACTAAGTCTGAGAGCTTATTTACATCGGCCCCAAACGAATTTTCGCACCGGTCGGTCTTTTTCCAAGGAAGCTTCTATACTTGAGAATGGTTCTCATCAAGGGAAAAGCAAACGCCGAAAAGCAAACATATCTGTGAATAACCCACTGAAAGGTTGGACCAATCTTTAAATGTAGTCGCGGTGTCACGCTCACGAGTGTTAAGCGTGATTTCGGGGTTTAAAAGTAATTAATACGAATATCTTATTCTTGAATACGTGTATGCGCGTTAACTGGGTTCAACATTTCCAAAGTATGAAATCTATTCCTTTGTTCATTGGCAATAAATCACGCTTTAGTTCACAGTGCCGGGTTTACAGAAGTCGATATCCCTGAATATTGAACGATCTTTGGTTAGATTTAGATTGACTTTTGCATGTTCGCGTTTTGCCGTAAGAAAAAAAAACAAAAAATGATAATAAATGCAAGAACTATTTAGCATTCATTAACAAGGATATCTAATATGCTGCATACTTGTATGTGCATTGACTGGATTAGTGAAAACCTATATTTCCTCGGTTTGAAATTAAATCTATCCCTGTGTGAGAGACACATCGGGGGTTCTGGATACCGCAACACCGCAAACAAAATAGAAAGGAAAAACTGTATCGCAGTTAGAAATATTGTCAACACACTGACTCTACGATACAAAAAATAGGATTTGCCTGGTCTTGTTTCACTCATCTTTACCATGCGCTGGTCTTTGGCGGGCCGATATTGCGACACTGGAAATGGTTTATTTCACCGAACACCGTCGGTTTGAAATCACCGCAAAACCGCAATGCGAGCTGTTCTTCACCGCATTAAGAAAAGGGTCAACACTGTAAAACCAATGTCCCCCTCCTTTGTTCATTGGTATATAATAACTCTTTAGTTGTAGTTCACAATACTTCATAGAAGTCGATATACTCTTAGATTGATTTTTAAGAGTTCGCGTAGGCTGTGAAAGCGTAAAATAATTAATAACAAAAGTGATGATAATGCGAGAACTAATAACGTGTCAACCTTCCTTAACTTTATTAACGGGGGATGTCACGCAGAGAGCCATAAATGAGTTAGGCGGGAAAACATCATTTATACCGTAATCTTTCCGATGTTCAAACACGTGATACCGATCATGCGATAGTGATTTCTATTTTTGGTACCATGTAGGAAAAATTAAAAATTTTGAATCCCTCATAGTCGTAGGACCTATTTTACGTTTAATTTTCATTAAATCATTACCTGCTGCTCGGATGACCAGCCGTGATCGTCTAGTGGTTGGGACACTCAGTTGTGGCCGCAGTAACCCAGGTTCGAATCCTGGTCTTGGCATTTTGCATTACTATTTATTTATTTACTTTATTTACTCAATTTTAATCATACAGATCTTAATATACAAATTGTAGATAAATTGATAATTGAAATGAATAAAAGAAAAAATCACAGATACGAGGATTCCTTATAAAAATAAACGGCCTCAATTAAAAAACATATCTATTATATATATACATAAAAAATTATACAAGTTTGCTCAAATAGTGTGAAATATCATGACAATATATTATTTATCAATTATAAAAATCTATCCTTATTTACGTTAAATTTAGCCAAAATCACAGACTTTGTCACTCGTGTAGCCATATTGACGAAGCTTTTCACCCTCTGGAAAAAAGAACAAACAAAAAAAACAAAAACCGAGATGAGTTTTGAATTCTTTGAGAGATGAATAACTGAACGCCACTGAAGGTTTTATGTACTGTGAAGATGGCATCTGATTTTTTCGTCGGCAAGATTTTTAAGACAGGATAAGAATGCTATTGTCTTTTCACTCCATCAATGGAACGAACAGCTAGAATTTTTGCTACTTCGTGGTACTTCGACATTTTTTCGCAAGAACGAGATCTAACCTTGACAAAGCTCATCTAATGATGAAAATTATAGAAACGTGATAAGCATATCATAAAAAGAGTTCAGTACATTTTTTGTGCGAATTAGTTTATTTATTCGTTGCTCGACTTGCTCTCGCATATTATCGAAAGACCATATTTTTATGTCCATTTGATAATTTAAGAAGGCTGAGGCCAGGAAGAAAATTCGCGTTCATCAAGCTTAGTTAGATCGCATCGTCCTATAAGATGCGGAAGATGGTAATTTCGATGGTAAAACCACTTTATAAGTACATACGCTTATACTCACTGACATTCATTTGTCGCTATCGGCATTTCACAAATAGTTTTAGACGGTTGGTTTAAAGAAGGCATTCGGATCACGGCCATGAATCTAGAATCAAGTTAAACAATTTCAGCGAATGTTCTTAGAGTTTAGAAAAGGATGCTGAACAATAACAACAGCAAGATTGACGTCGATCAAGTTTCGGTGAAATGTCGGTACGATATCGGTATATGTAGCTTTTTATCGAGTGGCGATGGATGGTCTGTATCGGTAGACCAGCGATCGACTCTCGGTCGACAAACATGTCGGTCGAGTGTCGGTCGAGTGTCGATCGAGCAAAGACCGATGCATCGGTCAATATATTTAACAATTATTCCACGAGCGCGCGTTGGATATGAGATGATAGATAGCCAACGAGGCGCGTAGCGCCGAGTTGGCTATCTGGGTTATTGCCAGACGATCAGACGATCGAACCAGACGATCACGGCTAGTCATTCGAGCAGCGGATGATTAAATAAGAATTAAACTTGAAATTGGTCCTACGGCTATGAGGGATTCAAAATTTTCGATTTTTCTTACATGGTACCAAATA